ATATATTGAGGTCTTATTATACTATAAATACATATATAATTATTATGTACATAGATATTTCACTTGCACAAATGCATATCAGTTCAAGATTAAAACCTTCTTCTCTTGCTCCATGTGGGAGCATTCCAACAATCATTGCTCCTTCTGAAGGTGCTGTTTCCTATGTACTCTCAACAAATTCATCTTTGTCTGCCCAAACCCACACGGTCTTTTCCTTTTCCATGTGCAATTTTTGGATGCATTTGAAGACATCCAGGGGTGCAGCTTCTTTTACCCGACTGCCCCACTGCACCCATGGGGCTCCGACCTCAGCCCACTCCAGAGCTAGGGAACTCCAGGGAAGGGCTTCCCAGCCGGGAATTTCTGATGGGACTGATTCCTCACATTGACACTGAACAAGTGACATTTTGTTGGCATCTGGCCAGACTGTGCCAGTTTTGTTTTACCAGTGGGCAGGGTCAGCACCAAAGCCACAGACTCCAACTGAAGGAATCAGTGTCATTTCCTGCAGTTCAGAGCAGCAAAGAATCGCAACAGGAGCAGCTCAGCAATGCACCCAACCATCCCCACCAAAGATTGCAGCAGTGATTAGGAAAGATCCAGCAGCATTTACCCTCAGCCTTTACCATCCCCCAGACCCACACAGCAGCTGGGGAAGCTGTCACAGCCAAGGGCTGCAGAGCCACTCCTGGGCACTGGGAATTCCTGCAGGTGCCTCCAGCCCCAGGTGAGGCTCCAACCCCGCTGGGAGAGGGCCCAGCTCTGACAGTGCTGAATGAACAAACTGACAGCACTGCTAGTGTGGCAACATCTGCTTTCATCCTCCTCTTGGGTTCCTCCCAAAGCCTGGCCAGGGCTCAAGGAGGAACCAAGGGAGCTGACTTTGACCATACAGCCCCAAACAAGGCCAGATGTCAGATTTCATGGCCTTGTCTGGCTTCTAAATACACAAAGGTCAATCCGTGTTTCCCTAATGAGTGGCTACATCTATCTCAGTGCTAATGACCATGCATATTTCATCAGGGAGCAGATACAAAGATAACCTTTGCTTGGAAGGTTCATCCAGAGGCCATCCTTGGCTCAGGGCCTGCTGTTCAGGCCGCACTCGGGGCTGGTGTTCAGACCTTGGCACTTCAGGGGCGAGGTTTAGTGCTGGGCTTGGCACTGCTGGCTGAATGGCTGCACTGGGTGAGCTCAGAGGGCTTTTCCAACAGAAAGGATTCTGTGGTTCCATGCTAATATCCACTGCATTCAGCTGGGGCTATTTTAGCAGCATTACTTTGCTCAGAAAGTCTCCTCTTGCCCAGCTCCTGTGGCCTGAGGCTTCAGCTCCTTCAGCTCCTGGTGCTGAGCTGCTCATGCTGAACGAGACGAATCGGAGAGAAGAGCACAGTCCATGCAATTCCTTCTGGGACATGGAGAGGGGAGGCTGTGCAAACAGGAGCATTGTTTGCTGTGGCCTCCTCTCTGCCCTTCACGTCTTTCAGCGCTTTGAACCAGCCAAGAGCTTTCTCCAAGAGTGCAATGGAGCAGCTGTTCCTGCTCCCAGGCCTGGCTCTCTCCAGTCTCTGCCCTTGCCTGGCTCTGTCCCTCTTGCTGTGCCCTCTGTTTTCCCAGGGCTCGCTGGCTGCTGCCCAGGACTGTGGCACTGGCACAGATCCAGTGCTCCAGAGCCTCCTTTCTGTGCCCTTGGAGCTGCCTGGGTACAGCAGCCTTTTCCATCTGGAAGCTCCCCATGGACAGGGAGTGCCCAGCTCCGTTCCCTGCACAGCCTCCAGGAGCCCAGGGCTGCCATCTCCAGTCCCTGCTGGCACTGGGGGCTCCCAGGTGCCTCAGGCTGCTGTGACACCGCTGCACACGGGAGGGAAGAGGGGCAGGGGCTGTGCTCAAAGTCAGCTCCATCTGCTGCTGTGGTTGGTGCTGCTGCTGCTGCTGCTGCTGCTGTGGGGTCATTTGTGCAGCCCTGGCCCAGAGTCAGGGATCAGATCCTGCCAGTCTCTTCCAGCCCTGGCTGCTCAGAGTTTGGGCCTTGGAGCCTCAGGTGGCCAAAGGCAGCTGCTGCTGGTCCCTCTGTGTGCCCGTGTTCAGCAGTGCTGCTCCATCAGTCTGTGCCCAGCAACGGGGAAAAGCCTCAGCCCTGCAGGGCCAGGAGCTGCCGGGCTCTGCCTGAGCAGCTCAGCCAGTAGGAAGGGAGCTGCTCCACACGGGAACCAGGAGCAAAGGACATTTCTTCTGTAGGACATGTTTTCTATTTAGAAGGAAAAAAAGTAAAAAGGAAAAAACTAGGTAAATTGTAAAAGATAAGAATAAAATCCAAGTGTTAGTGAAAAAACATAACACAATGTTAGTGAAAAAAACAAAACATAAATGCAAAGACACATTCTTTGCATTAAGAGGTAAATGATCTTTCTCAAAAGAGAACTCAGTTCTTTACATTGTAAATGTGCTGATGGCATGGATCCATCTTACTGACCTCAGCAGCCTCTTAAAAGATTTTGGGCTTTGTTCCCAACACTGGTATTTGAAATTGTGCTTGAAGCAAGAGGAAATTGCTTTGTGCCCTTCCAGCTCCAAGCAGGACTGGGAATGGAAACTCTGTCAAACCCCAAATCATTTAGAAGATCACCTTCCGTCTCACCCTGCAAATGAGCTGCACGTTCCTGTTGTAACTGCCAGGAGTTTCTTAGAGACACGAAGTCCCATTGACAGCTTTTTGCTCTGGTTTGGCAGTGCAGAAGGGCAATTCTCCATCCATCAGCTCCAGACTGCAGTACCTCAGGAACACGGCCCACTCACCAGCTTTGGCCCACTCGTGGCACTTCTAGAGAAGGAAGAAAGTGGAACTGCACAATTCCAGCAAATCAAGAAGGAAGAATGGGACAGACAAAACACCCTGTACAGATGCAGGCGTTCAGCTGGGACTGTGGAGAGTTTGAGTTCTTGCCAGTTGCATGTGTGTCCCCAGCTGCAATCTCTGGGCCTGCAGCAGAGTCTCACTCACCTGCCAAAGCAGAAAGCTCAGGCGCTGTGCTCGCAACGGGCTGGTCTGATGCAGAGCTGTCAGAGCAATGTGAGGGCTGAGCCCAGCAGAGCCCTGGCAGAGCCCAGAGCAGCCTCAGCACCCGCAGAGCCCGGCTGCAAGGAGAGAAAGCAGAAACCGCCCGTCAGCTGAGGGCTCCTGTGCCCTTGTGCCAAGGCCTGCGATGACCAGGCCATGCTGGCTGCACCCAGAGCTGTGCCCAGAGCTGCCCATCCCTGCTGCCAAAGGCACAGAGCAGGAGGGCAGCACATGTGCCCAGCCTGCAGCCAGCCACAGCACATCCAGCCCTCAGCAGCTGCCCGGAGCAGGATGCTCCTGTGCTCGCTGCCATCTCCCAAAAGCTCTGATCCCATCCTGCCAAGCACACAGGGACCCACCTCACGCCAACCACGGCTGCAAGAAAAGCTGCTCCCAAACCATGGCCTCAGCCTTCTCCAAGGGCACGGCCCATCCACACCACAGCTGCTCCCCAGCACTTCCCCATCCACACTGGACCACCTGGAACGCTTCCTCTGGAATAACAAACAACACATTATTGAAAAGAGTTTAGAGACAAAATGGGAAAACAAGAAAATTGGTAAAAAGTCTTATCTCTGTCAGGGTCTTGAGGAAGGCCCAACCCCTGCATGCCAGGGAAAAACCCAGCCATGGCTGTGGGAAACCCACACTTTCTCTCTTCCCCCCTGCACTGCCCCCCAAAATCACGGTGACCCCAAAGCAAACAAGGGCAGTGGAGCAGCCCAAACCCTTTCTTGCATGCACAGCAAAGCAGCTGTTCACAGGTTCTGGAGTCCTACCTCTGCTCCCACCATGGGGCTTTGTTTGTGTCAGGCTGGCTGCCCCAGCCCCAGCCCCAGCCCCAGCCCGGGGCACAGTGGGTGCTGGGGGCTGTTGGCAGGGCCAGGAGCCCACTCCCATTTCGTACCCACCCCAGCAAATGCCCCACCCTGCCAAAAGCAGCTGGGCAGTCACTGAAGAATTACTTGCATCTGCCCCAGCAAAGGGAGAGCCTTTGGTTCCCCGCCACGCTGGGTCATGCCCAGATCTGGCAGAATTTCCCGGGTGGGACTCATCTGCAAATTCCCTGTGGAGTTTGGCTTTGAAGAAGGTGCCAGAATCAAAGTGCACCACCTTCAGCCTCCAGTGGCCAGGCTGAGGAAGAGCTTGTCATCCTTGATGTCATCCTCGCTGTCTCCAGCAGCAGCAGCAGCAGCAGCAGCAGCATCCCCACCCGGTACAGCTTCTCCAGGGGCTCCTTCTCCTTCCCTGGGGGCAGACCAGCCTCTCAGGGCTCTGCCCAGGGCCCCAGCTGTCAGGGAACCGGGACAAGCAAAACCAGCTGGGATGGCGGCCACCAGTGCTGGGCAGAGCAGCTCAGCCCCAGCACAAGGGCTGTGTGTTCCCATCCCATGACCCCGGTGCAGTGACACAGGCAGCACAAAAAGCTCTGGGTTCCTTTGCTTCTCATTGCCAAGGCATATGTGGAGCAGGAACTTACCAGGGCCCTGGATCAAAGTGTGCCTGTGGCTCTCTCCCTTCTTCTATGGCAGAGGAATATCCCACATCCAAGGATCACAGAACAGGTCTTCCAGTGTGGGTCTGTCCAAGGAGTTCACGGATAAACACCACCTGATCAGGTCTTTGCACTCTGGGAAGAGAAAGCAGAAACTGCCGGTCAGCCAGAGAAGGCTCCTGTCTGCTTTGCCCCACTATTCCCACGCCCAGGCCATGCTGGATGTGCTCAGAGCTGGGCCTAAACTTTCCCATCAATTCCCTGTTTTGGAGGAGAGCAGGACATGTGCCACCTCCTCAGCAGCTGCCAGAGCGGGATGCCCACTAGCCCGCTGCTGGCTCCCAGCACTGGGATTCCCCCCATGCCCAGAGAAGAGGATCCACCTTGAGAGAGCCCTTGTGGTAGCGGGAGCTGGCCCCAGCTGAGGTTCTGGCCCCTTCTGAAAGGGTGCTCCCCGCAGACCATCTGGTGCAGCAGGATGCCCAGGGACCAGACTGTTGCTGCCTTGCCATGGTACCAGCCAAAGTCGTTCCATTCCGGGGGGCTGTAGGACAGTGTTCCTATGGAATACAGATGGAGTTCATCAGGGGGATGCTGCTGCTCCCAGAGCCTGGCCCCAGCATCCCTGGGTGTGCGGGGGCTGCATCAGGGGCACACAGCGTGACCACTGCCCTCTCGCCAGCATCTGGGACTTGTGCACAAAGTTAGGGTTGGAAAAGAAGCCTCTGGTGTTGGAAGAGGGCAGCCCTGGCTAGGCCCGACCATGACATGCAAAGGAAAAACCCACTCCATGCTGGGGAAAAAACATGCCCTTATCCTCCCTGCCTGCATTTCCCCAAAAATATTATGAAGCCAAGGGAAACAGGGCGAGTGAAGCAGCCCAAGCCCTTCCTGTCATCTGCATACCAAAGTGGCTGGGGCAAAGGTTCCGCCCTCCCTCTCTGTTACCCCAACCCACGGGGCTTTTGGTTGGGCTGGCTGCCCCAGCCCAGCCCTAGTCCTGGGCAGAGTGGCTGGCAAAGGCTGCCAGCAGGGCTGGAAGATGGCTGCCCACCCAGCCCTGCTCTAAAGCAACCCAGCTGAAGATTCAGTGCCCTGACTGGCAGCAAAAGGGAGAATCCCCGCTGCCACAGCCAGCTTGGGCTGGGAGATGTTGGGCCATGAGATGTCAGCAGCGGGAGCACAGCCCTCTGCAGGCTCACCTGCAAAGTGAGTGTAGACTGTGTCCTGCAGGTAGGTGCCACAGCCAAAGTCAATGAGTTTGGCCTGCCCGGTGTCCAGGTCAACCAGGATGTTCTCTGGTTTGATGTCGCGGTGCAGGACCCCGCAGCTGGTGCAGTGCCGCACGGCCTCCAGCACCTGGCGGAACAGCTCCCGTGCCACCTCCTCAGGCAGGAACCGCCGTGCCCGAATGAAATGATGCAGGTCCTGACACCGCTCTGGCCGCTCCAGCACCATCACGATGCAGTTGGGGAGCTCGAGCCACTCCAGCAGCTGGACCACACCGGGGAAGCCAGTGGACACCCTGGCCAGCAGCACGATCTCCAGGGGTGCGCTGGTGCCGTCGGGCTGCGGGAGGAGCACGATGCCGTCAGTGGGGCCGATGCCGTGCCAGGCCTGGGGAAGCCCTCAGCCAGCCCGGGATGCTCTGCGCCCTGCGCTGGCCCCACGCCCGCTCTCTCTCGGGGCGTCCTGGTGGCTCCCACCGTGCCGGGCGCCGGCTCATCCCTGGCCGGCAGCCCCGGCTGCTGGCCCCGCTCACTCACCAGCTCGCCCCAGTGCCGGACGCGGTTCCGTGGCACCCTTTTGATGGCCACCTGCAAGCCAAGGGCAGCAGCGGGGTGAGCTCGCCGCCCGCACTGCGAGCCCCATCCTCCGCCCTCCGCCCTCCTCCTCCTCCATCCCCTCCTCCTGCGCCCGCCGCCGGCCCCGCCGCTCACCGGGGCGCCGTCCGAGAGCCTCGTGGCCGCGAAGACTCTGCCGAAGCCGCCGCGCCCCAGCAGCGATCCCAGCCTGTACCGCTCCTGCAGGGCCTCCTGCGCCGTCCCTGCGGGCGGGACGCGGCTGTCAGCGCTCGGCCCGGGGCCAGCAACGGCCCCCGAGCGCCCCTCACCCGCCCCGGGCCGGCCATGCCCAGGGCGTTCCATCTTCGGAACGCGGCACGGGAGGCTCGGGGCTGGCGGCCGCGCTGCCGAGCGGCGGAGCTCGGGCCGGGGAAGCCGCAGCGGAGGCGCCGGGAGCGGCCGCGCCGCCTGTGTCCTCCGCGGGCCGCGGGAGGAGCGGGGGCCGGGGCCGGGGCCGGGGCCGGGGCCGGGGCCGGGGCCGGGGCCGGGGCCGGGCTCGGGGCTGGACCTTGCGTCGGGTCTGGGGCCGGGCTCGGGCCAGGCGGAGGCAAAGGGCGGCGATGCCGCCCCGGCCCCAGGCACTGATGCCCGCCCAGCAGCGCCACCGCCAGTACGGCCAGAGCCGGGCGGAGGCGAGACCGCGGCGGGACGGCCGGGGCTGGGCACGGGGCAGCCCCGCCCGGGGCCGGGGGCGGGCCGGGGGCATGGCCCGGCCCGGCAAGGGAGAGGGAGGCGGGGAGAGGAGAGGAACGCCGGGCAAGGGACCCCGAGAGAAGGGTGCCCGACAGCGGAAAAGGGAGAGAAAGAGAAAGAGAGAGAGAGAGAAAGACTATTCAAAACTATCTGTTTTGCTGCTGCTGCCGCTACTGCTGCCGCCGCTGCTGCTGCCGCCGCCGCTGCCGCTGCTGCAACTGAAGCACCGGGGCCGTTCGTCCCCGTGTCTATTCCCCGCTCGCCCCACGAGCCCCACGTTCGAGCCCCGCGCGCCCCGGGGACAGCCCCTCCGTCTGCCCTAAACACTGGAACTTTGCAGCCTTGAGCCCAGATGCGGAGCCCTGACTCCTGCACACTGGCACAGCGATCTCCTTCCTCGCTGCTGTGCATTGTCCTTGCTGAGGGTCAGACACTGCCGGGCCACCTTCCCTTGGGGTAGGATTCCTACCTGACCCAAGCACTGCACTTACACCTCCAGTGTTGCTTTCCTGTGTGGAAAGGAAAACTGTGTGTAGCTCATGGTTTAGAGTGTCTAAAACTTGCCAAGTCACAGATTTTAGAGGTGAGGTGCATTTGGAATGAATGGGATGGAGAAGCAGTGCAACATGGAAAAGAGGAGCATAGAAATAAATAGAGGAAAACATCTTGGATTGTTTCTTTCATTCTCATTTCCCTTCTGGAAAGCTGTTTCAGTTTTCCAGGAATCATCTGCTGTCTGCTCTTCTCAAGAATCTCTCATGGAGAACAAGGTTGAGCCTCTGTCACAAGATTTGCTACCAGCTGCAGCTTCTCTTAGCTTTCCACAGTGCACAGTGTGTGCAGCAGGACTTTTGCAGCAAAGCAGGACAAATGTTAGGAGAACTTTACATGTCCGTTCTTTTCCTGCTGGGCTGGGGAGTTGTGCCACTGGTGAAGTTTTCATTGTGACTGTTTGTGCTGGTTTCAGGCAAATTTTGGGAGGAAACCTCCAAAAGGGGTCAGTCTAGAAAGCAAGTTCCAGCGGCCCCTCCCCCTACTAGCTGAGGAAAAGACTTCCCTCCAGAGCGGGTTTAAACAATTCCAAGAAAAAGGAAAGTCACAGTCCGAGGAACTTCTCTGCCCCAGCTAGCTAAAACCAAATTGCTAGACCTGGGCTGTGAAGGCATCAGGAAATTTCCAAGTCTGGGCACTGGCGGTCCCAGCAAACACCAGATCTGGATGATGCTGATGCCAGAACCTGGAAATATCCAAACTTTGGCTTTCTGTGCCAGCAAATCCCTGGACTTGGGCTGTGCCAGCACCAGGAAGTTTTCAGATCTGGGCGCTGGCGCTGCCAGCACACACCAGATCTGGGTGGTGTCATTGCCAGTGACAGAAATCTGCCAGATTTGGGCTCTGCTGGCACCAGGAAATTTCCAAATCTGGGCACTGGTGCAGCAAATGCAAGATGTGGGTGGTGCCAGACCCAGTAGCAGGAAGCTGCCACAGGTTTTAGCTTTCTGTGCCAGCAAATTGCTGGACATGGGTGGTGCTGGAACAGGGAAATTTCCAGATCGGGGCACTGGCAGTGCCAGCAAACACCAGTGAAACCTTCTGGTCCTCGTCCGGACCGTTGACCAGTGGTTTCCCTGAGAACCAGCTCTGGCCACTTTACAGACAGAGATGGCTTTCATCTGGTTGTGTGGAAACAGAACTTTACTGAAGGCAAACACAACAAACAGGATGGCGTGCACAGTACAGAGAGTGAAGCAGAAAAAAGCCTGGGTCCAGGATCTAGCAGGGATATTTATACATTTATTTATGGGGAGGGGTTAAGGCGGGATCTGAGAGAAGGATCCAATAGGAAGGAATGATTAAGAATATTACAATTTTGCAGCAAAAAGTAACCAATGGTAGCAAAGAGAACTCAGAACTTTCTAGTAACAATCTGCATAACTGAACAAGAGGATTATGGGCGGGAGCTCCTGCTCACCCTAAAGAGGGTTTTCCCACAGCCTTAAGCCGAGGTCTCCTTCTTTTAAACCAACCCAAACACAGCAGATCTGGGCGCTGCCAAGTTTGGGCTTTCTTTGCCAGAAAATTGCTGCCTTTGGGTTTTGCTGGCATTGGGAAATTGCCAGATGTGGGCACTGGCAGTGCCAGTGCACACCAGATCTGGGTGGGGAATGTGCTGGCACCGGGAAATTGCCAAATGCGAACCTTCTCTGCCAGCAAATTGCTGGAATTATGCTGTGCAGGCATCTGAAAAATTCCGGATCTGGGCACTGGCGGTGTCAGCAAACATGAGATTGGGTTGCTTTAAATCCCTTTTAAATCCAGGTATTTGCTTGATTTAGGCTTTCTTTGCCAGCAAATTGCTGGAATTGGGCTGTGCCAGCACCAGGAAATTGCCATGTTTGGACACTGGCAGTGCTGGAAAACACCAGATCTGGGTGGTGCCGGCCCCAGGTATTTGCCAGGTTTTGGATTTCTGTGCCAGCAAATTGCTGCACTTGGGCTTTGCGAGCACTGGGAAATTTCTGCATCTGGGCAATGGCAGTGCTGGGAAACTCCAGGTCTGGGCAGCAACAGAGCCAGCAGTGGAAAATTGCCAGATTTTGGGGGGTTTTGCCTGCAAATTGCTGCACTTGGGCTGCACCAGCACCAGGAAATTTCTGGATCTGGGCACTGGCAGTTCCAGGCAACACCAGTTTGTGAGAGCTGAAATGAGGGATGTGGGACTCCAGGCGGCTCTTCAAAGTGCAGTTTATTGTATCCAAGGTGATACAGCAGTCCAGAGTCATGGGTGACAGAGCCTGTGCCTACAGCTGTCAGCTCCAGCTGCAGGCCTGGAGACCCTTAGTTTAGGTTACAAATGCATTATATACTTTTCTTTGCTGAGCATCTTCACAAAATAGAACCAATCTATACCTTAACTTTTACCTATAGCCAATCATAACTACTATCATTACCATATTCATGTTACTGTTCTCCAATCACTAAAAGTTAGTACATTAAAGTTTAAGCTAAAAGTTGTTTTCCAGTTTTCTTGCAGTGGAAAATTCTGAGACCTTTTTTCCTACTTGCAAAATTTGCTGACTTGTTTGCCTGTGCTATCTTTCTGCTTGGTAAAATCTTCTTGTTTGAGGTGGGCTTATCCTTTGCTCTAAGTCATAAAAACCCCTTCTAACTAACATACACTTTGCCTTCTTAGCTATCCAAAAAGACTGGCTCATCAATTCTTTTCTTTTATATCAAAACTTGCTTTCATTTATATTCGTCTTCAGACATTACATTCAAAAATCTTTCAGCCAAGCATACATATCTGTGAGACTTTCTTGTCAAACTGCATCCCTGTATAGTGATCAAGTGCTTGAGGCCAGGAGCACCTGGACAATGGGGACAGTTCTTTCCTATAGGAAGGAAATCACAGAACTCCAGGGTTTTGAAGGCACATGAGAAGCAGTCCCCAGAGGCCAAGGCAAGCCAGACCTGTCTGTCCTTGCAGCTTTTGTCTGAAAGCAACCCTTGGATATATGGGGAGTTTTGGGGTGGAATTCCATTTCAGCCATGGGTTCCTGGACAGGAATGACAGTTCTCCATAGAGGGGCAAGGGCCCCTCACAGCTGCTCATGGTCCCTCACAGCCCCACATGGCCCCTCACAGCCCCTCACGGCCCCTCACAACCCCTTGTGAGATGCAAAGCTGTGTTTCGTGGTACAAACAGGCAATGTGTGTACTTGTGAATGAGAAATGTGTGGATACCGACAATGGGATAGTTGTGAATTCTAGTAATAACTGAGGAAAATAAAGCTATGAAAAAGACTTTTGAACCTATCTTTTGTTTGCAAATTAACCCTAGTTGATTTAGGAGCATTTGAATTAAAGTGTTATAGATGTTGCTTTTTGCTTGCATTTAATCCATAAAGAGTTCTGCAATAATAACCTTTTGAAGTATAATTTTAGAATATTACTTGTATTATTGAAACTGTAGCTTTGGAATATATATAAAGGAAATATGCTTATCTCACGCCTTATTGAAACAGAGAAAAACAGCTTGAAAAAGGAAGATGAACATCACTTCAAGGGTTTATGGTTTCGACCAAAGGGAAGCTGGACATCACTGTTATGAGATTTGGAGTCTCTGCAATTAAAAGGTGGACCCATATCTGGGGAGCTGGACTCCACCAGATGGAATTAGTCTTTCTTCTTTTGGAAACTGGACCGTCACCATCTGGGGATACTCCTTTGAGATACATCCTGAGAAATTAAAATCACAATAGTTTATAGAATTGTGATGTAATAATTTGGAATAAAAATTGCTGATGAGTAAAAGATTGGAAATAGAAACTGCTGAAAAAAACTGATGGGTACCCCTGTAAATACCTGTAACCATCAATTATCGGTATGCAGTTGGAGGGAAAACTTCCCCCACTGTACCTGGCGCTGTATTGCTCATACTTTACCATATTAAATAATAAATCGATTGCTGCTTGAATATTGGACTAGTCAAGCTT